AATCAAATTTAAAAAGATGAGTGTATTCAATACCTTGACAATATTTTTTATCTTAAATTTACAGATAATCAACTTTTTTAGAATCATTAATATTTTACTATAAAATGAATTAAGTCTATCTAAGTGCTGATTGAATAGTCACAATAGAGAAACTTATTCTAATCTGTATATGATTAGGTATATTTTTAAATGTTTTTCTCAATTATGAATCCTTATCTAATGCATTAATTCCTCCAATATAAGATTTAGATCCACATAACCAAATAGGAGAATTTTATAAAGCTATTTTCCAAGGAGAAATGTTTTGATTAGAAAACTTTAAGTCATTGAGATTTTTTATGTTTGGAATTCCATTAAGAGTTAATATAAATTCTCTAATTCCCCAAGATGCTTTGAGTATATAATAATATATTTACATATTGAAGTATCTGGTTGATTTGTTTAAATTTAAATGATGACTTAAGATCTAGTATGAGGAATTGTAACAATACTGATTTTCATGATTTAATCAATTTCAGCATAGATACCACAATATGGCATATCTTTTTTAGAATCAACTATTGAAGGTATTGTATATTGATATACAATAGTTCCATCTACAATTACATAAAATTGTTCATCATAAAATTTATCAATAAAGTAGACTTTAAATGATAAACCTATCTTAACATGAGGTTTTAAATCATATACACTTTAAATGAAATGTCTACCTTATAAATTATTATATCCACCAAGTAAGGCTTAATTGTTACATAAATTTAGATTTGTAAATTGAAATAGAGTCAAAACTTACCATTCTTAATCATCGCTAAATGTATCCAAATTAAGACTATTTTCATGTAAAGTAAATTTAGGATACTTAGTATTTTAACATTAAGTCTCTAATGGTCCAAAACAAGAATATTAACAATTTGGATGACATTTTTTAATTAAGATTTAAAAGTTTCGAATACCCCACAGAGTTTTTGATCCCTAAATTGATTAACTTGCTAATGTTAAAAACTCAACTAAAGTATCTTAATGAAAAGATTCATATTCAACCTATTAAATCAGATCTCCTCTAGTTTTATCTAAAAGCTTAGAACAAATAGGAGGAGATGCTGTATAAGTGACATATCCCACTTGATATTATATCTTACCATTTAAATATCCATACCAATATATTTATGGGGCAAATTCTTATGCAATTAGTATTTGCAAATATTATATTTTTATTCTAAAATGAGGCTCTAAAATTATTGTTTTTTTAATCTAATCACCCATCTCCATAAATCCAATAAACTACATATAATTTGAACCTAGTATATTTTAATTTCTTACTTTCATAATTACAATCAATTGATTTATGTAAAATCATACTTGGATTAGCTTAATTGATTGTCCAACCATCACTATTATATAAATTTCTATCTATTTCTACTAAAAATTCAGAAGCAAGTTACCAATCTATACATTCATTTTCTAATTAGTCTGTTTTTCTGCAAAATTAACAATTCATTGGACATGGGATTGAATATAAATAAAAATCTCTAATTCCAAAAGTAACTATCTAATTTTAATTTATAAATTTATACATTTGCATCTGTTGGTTTTCCTGAAAATTAAATAAACAATGACTTATGTGTATGAGTCATTGACAAGTCAACATTTTATTTAAAAACCCTTGAATATTGATTAAAATTAGGCTATATTGTATATTATTTTTAGCCATCAATAAAAAAATCAACATTACAATTCCCAGCTGGATTATGTTAATTATTAAATCTATAATTTATAATATCTTATTATACATGTATATTTAAAATGTAATTAATAATGCTTTATGAGACTTTAGATTATTATAATACTTTATGATTCCTTAATTTGGATGCTCATGTCCAAAAGCAATATAGACATCACTGTTTCGATCCCAATATATTGAATTGAATCCAGCATAACTTAAAGTATTTTAAGGAGGTTTATCAATCCCACTATCTTTTTATTCAACTACTATTAAATTCCAATCTAATATCTATAGATATTAAAACCATCTAAATCTGTGAAGCTCTCATCTGTAAATGAAGAAAATTCTAACACTTTTTGGCAATCAATAGGTCTTAGAAATATCAAAATCACAACAGAAAATTGAACAAACATATATTTTTTTAGAATTTTATAAAACGAACTTTCAAATGTTTAATTGAATAAATTAGATATTATTTTTTTAATTGATATTTTAATATCAATATTAAAAAGAAAGCAGTTGTCCAAATTTTATTATCATCCAAATAAGTAACTGTTAGAATTAAAATCTCTAGAATTACTTTTTTTTTTTTAAAGTTCATTTTTTATGGCTCTCATTCTGGTTGTATTAATTTCAAAATAATATAGACTATAAATAATAGATGAATATTGAAATATTAAATCCAAAAAGAAGTTCGAACTCTTTTCTTTATCTTTTTTATAATTTTATTAAAAGTTGAGAAGCACTTTAACAATAACATTTATATATGTCAACAAAAATAATCTAAATAAAAATTTACTAAAATTGATAATCATTAAAAGCTGTGATAATTTAAACTAGAGATTTAAAATTATAAACTCTAAATCAATTTAATAATGTTTAATTTGGATCAAAATTTTGATCAATTAATTAGGTTATATAATTAATGATTGTTGATAAGTTTGAAAATTTGGATTACTTATAAATAAGAATAAAAAGTTGAAACAATAAGTTAATTGTATAATAAAAGGTATTTATTAGAACTCTTTATTAATTCTTGACTTGATTTTAATGTTTTATCATAAAAATTGAGAGCTGTTATATCGTAGAATTTAATGAAGAAAGCAGTGATAAAATTTGCTGCATCTTATTTATTACTGGTATCAGAATAGAAATTACAAATTCAAAAAATGTTTGAAATTTAAAACATTATATTAATTTTCATAATTAATCTAAATAGATTTTTCTGAATTGCAACAAGAAAATATTGCATCAAATTGAAGCTTTTTTTGCTTAAAAATAGCAATTACTTAAATATTATAATTAAACAAGTTAAGATTTAAATATTAGATTATTTAGTAATAATTCCTTTAATTATTTATTAATAAATATATAAATGAATGATATTATAATAACCTGAGTATTTCTTCAAATGATTTCTTGAGGGTTTTTTAAATTATGAAATTTTAATCAATAATAATAGAGAGAATAGATATTTTATTTTCAGATTAACCAGCAAAAGAAATGATATTCATAAAATACCTATTGATCAGATGATAGCGAATCGAAAAAAAGACAGCACAATATCAAAAAAAAGATTAAATAAATGCTCAAAAAGCACATAGTTAATAATATTCAACAAAAGAAGGAAGAAGTTTTTAAGATTGATATCCCATAATCCTATAAATATTGAACATTTCTTTCTCTTTTTCCACTAAAGTTTAAGTAGAATGCTCTAGATATTATTTTTTATTCTGTGCATCATCAAAAAGTATCCTAAGTATTATTTAGCTGATTCTTAACAGCATAATTATGAATCTCCTATATTGTTTGTATCATCCCAGTTGAGAATTAGATTAAATAATTCATTAATTAAACAATCAAGTTTTCCAAATCTGAACATTCAAAAACATCTGGTATCTCTCAATTAATAACAGTAGAGTAAATTAAAAAGTATCTTATAATAGCTTAAATAAAATATCACCAAACTTAAAGCTCATTAGTTTAAATTGTATATTATTAAATTAAATACAATATTTAAAGCTTTTTAATTTCCATTCAGTTACGAATACGGGTGTTTCTTTGGTTTATTATTGTTTAAATTAATAAGTAGCTCTTTCAAACTTGAATTTTAAATAACCTGAACTATATTATTTGAGAATAGTGAATTCACTTATAACAAATTGCTCCTCACTCATGTTTATAATTATTCACCCATTGTCTATCACATTTATGCCCTTAATTGTCCATGTCAATTTTTTTTTTCTATGCTAAACCCTATCTCCACTATTATTACAATATTTTCCAATTTCAATTTTTGACTCAATTCTTCTTCATAAAGGTTCTACATAGCTAACTTATAAACTCTTTTTCCATATTTAATATTGTCTTTTAATTCATCTTTACAAATTATCTAAGTAAATAACATGATATTCTTCCTTATTTGAATGCATAGTATAATTTTTATTGGTTTTTGTTGTTTCTAAAATAAATAAGAAAATTACTTAAATGTATATTATTAATATAATTGACTATTATGATATATCTTTTAATATCACAAGCATTTTTTTTTGTTTAGAGTACCCTTTTTAGATATTTAAACATATTAGAAATGTTTAATATCCATTAACTTTTACAGACCAAAAATATATAATTTAAGTGTAAATAATTTCAATTTTTGGCAATTAGATGGCCCAATAAATAATGTAATTTGAGGTAACTTAATAGAGAAAGGCTTGATAGCCATGTACTTCTCAAACCCAAACTATGCTGAAGATTATTTGGAATAATTTATCAGAATCAATCATGATATATGATTGGATTGAAAAAGAGAATGTTGAAAAAAGTAATGATTATAAAAAAATAAAATATTTTTCTGAAAAATCTATCTAATTATTGATATTTTTTATATTTCCAAAATGCCTAAAATTGGCATATATAATCAAATAAAAAATGCTTCTAAAAAAATTCAATAACAATATATCACAATTTTTATTAATTTCCAAAAACCAAGGAAATACATCCTATCTTTATGTATTTTTTTTACTCAATTACTTTTTCTGATAAAAAACAAAATGTTTCAATACATTTTTAATAATGACTGCTGATACAAATTTCTTAATAAGGGGTCTAAATTAAAGAAATATACATATTGAAAGATAAGTATAAAAATATTGGGTATTTCAAATTTTGTTAAAAAATCTGCTTTTTAATCTCAGAAAAAACTCAAAAATTTTGAACTTTGATTTGTCTTTAAAATGAATTTTATAATATTTAAATTTTTCATAAAATAACTTTATCATATCTTTGCAAAATCATCTATAATATTATCTAAGCTGCTATGCATGACAAAAAAATGCAATAAATGATAGAATGGGTTAAGTTCCATATTCTTTATACTGCTCGCTATCAATCTATATATTATTATTCTCGCATAAATTGTAAATGGTTCTATTAGAACTTATGAAATTATTATATTCCCTACAAATATAATAAAAACTTTGTGTTGTTCTGATTACATTGATATACTAATATAATTTAATAAAATACTTCTGTAAATAAAAAAGATATAAAATAGGTACTGGTATTATCAAAAAGAATATAAGAAGCAACTAACTGATAAGGGCTGCAATTTTTCCAAATCGATAAATTGATTCTATTATTTTAAAAGGAATTCTCAAAATCATAATGACAATTGGATTTGCTATTACAAATAAACAAATTTAAAGAATCTAATTTTCTAACAAATAACATTCAATAATAGCTAAGGTTAACAATAAATTTGACTAAGTGAAAACTTCTAAAATCCTATAACTAAGTTGAATGGTTTTTTCTTAATAACAAAATAAAGAAATAGTTTGATGGATATACTAAAAATAATATTCAAAACTACCTTTAATTTTTCTTTGAATATTTTAGCACTGCTTTGATAGATAAAATTTTTATTTTAAGTATTTTGCTGATCCAAGTTCCCTTCTTCAGTGTATAATTTTTAATCCTACTTTTAGCAACCTTTATATAAATGATAAATATAAATTATTATAAATATTAGGGTTAACGAACTTGTACAAATTCTCAATACTAATAAATCTTGAACATTTGAAGAAATATTAAGATCAGCTATTTACTCATTAGTACTGTTTAATATAACCCTGCTAAAATTAGTAGATGTACTTAGGAAAATATCACCTATATTCTTACATTGGCAATTAAATTCAAAAGTGTCGTTCTTTTGAACTTTAATTAATATACAATCATTGAATTTCATAGATATTGTTCTCATTACACATTATATTTCATATTCTTATAACAATTGTGTATCATTTGAACAAACTTTATATGTACCAAAATTTAAGTTATAAAGCTAAGAAAAATTTTCATACGATATAAATCTGTTATGATATGCATTCTTTAACGAAATTTAATAATAATTTTCTGGATAAATTCCTATAGTTGGATCTTGAAAATATTCTTAAAGTTATACTTCCAAATCTGATGTAAATTTTAGCGGATTTGATTAAAGATATAGTTATTCAAATTAAATAAAATCAACCAAATAGTCTACTTAAGATGATTCAATATTAAAATATTCATTAAAAAATTATTTTGTTTTTCTCTTAATCTGCCAAAAAATCTCGGTTCCAATTATAGCTAAAGGTTTAGAGTTAACCAAAATTGTATTCTATATCTGATCTACTATTACATTGATACGTTTCAATAACTCAACAATATTTTAAAAAATTATTTCATTTTTTGTATTTACCACAGAGATGTCCAAATATATTTAATCAAGATAGTATAATGAATTTATTAAACTTTCATGACAATTTTCTTATTATTGAAAGAGTTCTTAATTCCAAGCCAAATAATTTTAATTAATTTCCTCTTGATTCTACTTTTTCATTTTAATAAAGTATTAAAGAATTTTGTCTAAATTATTTATATTTCCTTTCAATTCGTCAATTTTTTTGGTTTAATTAAACTATCCTATTGAATTTTTTGTAACAAATAAATGAGAAGAATTTATATCATAACAATTCTTTCGAATATCCTCATTTAAAAATCGATTTAAAGCCTTATTGGATTCTATTTAAATTAAAAATTATTTATATAATTTTATTCCCTAAAATCTAAGGATATTATCATTTGAGTTTGAAGAGATTTATTAACCGAGCAAATTAATATAAATTTAATGATGAACTTCTTCACATCTTTGATTCATTGCTTCAAACAGTAATAAAACTTTTTTTTATAAATTCAAATTTTCAAATTATATTTAAAAACAATTTAATTAAGCAGGCTTTCGATTAATGTATTCAAAAAGTTGAGTAATTGATCCTCCATTATCAAGCACTTCTAATAAAATTCCAATTTTTGATGAATCAACAGAATTAGGCGTTTGAATAGAAAATTAATTTTATTTCTAATATGGATAGAGAATCAAGGAATAATCAGATGATCCTTACAAAAAATCTGTTAGATCCATTTCCCTCAAAAATATTCTAAGTTAATATTTGTAAGGGAAATCATCAGATAGCTAGCAAGTAGTTGCAATTTAAATATTAGTAAGTGCTAAATCACTTGAGGATGTAATATACAATTTTGAACATGTAGGAGGCTAATTGATACTTAATTTTATATTATTTAAACTTGGAATAATATTGTTTGTATATTAGGCTGCAAATTTTAGGTTGACATTATCTCCAAAATTTAATGCTTTAATACTATTGAAAATCTTAAAGAAATGGGAAAGATATTTTGGTTGAAGTATTTCTACTATTTCGTAATTGTATATAATTGCAATAGAAAGGTCTAATAAAGAAGGTTTCTAATAAACTGGAATGAGAAAAGTGAAATTCAGCTATTCATAATTATTAATCGTCCTCATTAAATAACCTTCATTAAATTCAAGTTCTAATTATGGAAAATCCTCTTCAAGATAAACAATAATTAACTCAAATTCAGAAGATTATTTAAATTTTTAAACATTAATTGTCCATTTCTAAACTGTATAAGCAGGTATGGAATTCTTCTTGATGCATTAAACAAAGTCAGTTTTATTCACATTAATAATTTATTTTTTTTAATTTATGCAAGTAGTATTTAAAGATAAATCATTACAAGAAACCTAAATATTCATATCTTGATCTTTGTTCCATTCATATATTGTATCTAAATCTCTGCATTCTATTAAAAGATTAAGATCTTTTCTTATACTCTGTATTCCTCGATTATTAAATTTGCAGATTAATCCAGCAAAAGGAATATCAATTGTGAAAACCTATATTTAGATTTGATTAGAATTTAAATTTTTAGCAAATACTTCAAATGTATATGTTGTATTTCCACTTAATGTGTATTTTAAAATTTTCCCATAAACTATTTCAAAGGAGTTAGCTTCTGTTGATATATTTAATCCTGAAGATAATGATTGTTTTGGATTCTTATCAATTTCATACAATTAAATTTAATACTTTGTTTTATCTTCATCTAAATTGCCAGCAGAAATAGAAATTGAAATTTATTCATAAACAAAATAGAAAGATTTAACACTTAAATTAATTTAAGGAAGATCTCCCGCATGAGTTAATAGCGTAAATTCATTTAAGGAGGAGATTCCAATGAAATTTTAATATTAAACAATAAATTTTAATACTGAATTTCGTGGTAAAGTATTTCTAGGTATTTATAGATTATATTCCTATAAAAAGTTAATATAATCTAAAAATTCAATAAGAGATTAGGTATCTTCATTGCCCTCTACTTAACAACTCCAAACAATATTTTCTAGTTTTTTAAATCCATAATTTTTGATTGAATTTATATTTACTGAATTTTCTGCATATGGATTTAGTTTATGAAGTGGAACATTATAATCTATCTTAGGAGGAAGGGGACTTATTGGCACTTATAATGTTGTAAATATAAATTTTTGTAAGGAAATTAAGCAATTTACATGAGATACCGAATTACTTATAAATAAGATTTCATCACCAACATTTATTGTTGGACTTTGGCCTAATTAAATTATAATTTCTTGATGATTGGTAGGATTAAGGTAACAGACAGCATTCTAACCAAAACTTTATACAGTTTGTTTTTCAAACAATTATAAGCATTTATTAAGTTGAAATTATGACTTAAATCCTTTTGAATTCAAAGGGAAATCAAAATGAATAATAATCTTACTTATATCGTTTGATAAATATATTTTAACAACTGAAACTTGGCAAGCTATTTATAATATTGAAATAGTTTACTTGAACACCAAGGAGTGTTATTATACCAAATTGAATTTGGCGGAGGTACACAATCCATTTCTTCATTTAATATTCTATTGGCAAAACAAGACAAACATCCATTGATGTTGCATTCTAAACATTTACTATCGCATTATTAACAATCTTCATTGATTGAATCATCAAAAAAACCAGATTGACAAATACATTAAGGTATTTAGATTCTATTACCTTTACAAGCTTTACAATTTTTAGAATCTTAAGTACAAGTTGCACATTTAAATGCACATTCTATATAATTTAATAATTGAAATACATTCACAAAGCGTTGATCCCATTTCTAAATATCCATCAATACATTCACAATCGTTTCCAATTCTTCCTGGTTTACAACTTAAACAGGTGGAGGGTGAATACTAACATGTATCACATTATGGAGCACACACTTATTTAAGTAATTTAATTTACTTTAACAAGCAAGTTATTCATCTTCATAAAATCCATCCATGCAATTACAGGTTGGTTGATCGATTCTTATCAAATTTGCACAAGTTAAACAATTATCCATTGTATATAAACAAAGTTTACATTTGATATGACATCTTTAGCACTACAATTGAGTTCCATCATCAAAATATCCTTCTTTACAATCACATTATCCAGATAGGGACATTCGATTTGTATTTGGTTCAAATTTACAGCTTAAACACTAATCAAATTAATTAATACAGGTTTAACATTTTATATGGCATTCTAACAAATAATATCTTAAAATTACTTTAACAAATAGAATCTTGATTTGAATAAAATCCAATAATACAAGGACATTTATGAATTATTGATTAATCTACTCTTTTTGAATTTGTATCACAACTTGTACAATAATCGAATGATCCATTACAAGTTAAACATTCATTTGAGCATTCTAAATTAATTTAATTTAGTTACTAAAACAAATATTAGTATTTTAATCATAATAGCCAGGTTAGCACAAACAATAATCTCCTTATAATATTCTAAATTATTCAATGTCAAAGCAAGATAAACAAATTGAGGCAGAGGATTAACAGGTTTTACAAACATCGACACATTTCTAACATAATTCTGTTCCTGCATCGTAATAGCCGTCTAAACAAAAGCATTTATTATTTATTAATATTCTTTTATTTACATCTAAACAACTTAAACAATGAGTATAAATATTTTCGCAAGTCACACATGAATAATGGCACACTAGAAATTATCAAATAATTGAATACATTGGCAATTCTATAAGTTTGTCTCATAAAATCCATCATTGCATAAACATTTCATTTAATCTTAATCTAAGTGTCTGGTTATCTATCTACATTAAGTGCATGATTAATTATTTAAACATTCTAGACAAGTAATATGGCATTCTAGAAATAAATAAATAATTACATTCACATTATTTGTTTAGAGAATTAAAGTAGTAGGATTGCTAACATGAACATTAATTATGTACTAATTATAAATGAAGACTGGAGTCACATGTTAAACAATTATTGGATAATAGAGAACAAGTTAAACATGATTTTTCACATTATTCACAATTCTTTGTAGATGGAACTTCAAAATATCCTTATAAACATTCACAAATATTTCCAGGTTATAATGTTCTATAATTATCAATAGAACATGTTAAACAATGAGTGTTAGATTAACTACAAGTTAAACAGGTTTTATCACAAAACTAACATGATTTATCTACAATAGATTCAAACATTCCATTGGTACAAACACAAGTATTGTTTTTCATTAATCGTAATTAACCACAAGAAGTACAGTTATCAACAGATTAAGAGCATGCTTAACAACTCTCTTAGCATTATTAACAAACTCCATCTATTTCGATATATCCAATTTAGCAATCGCATGTTTTAGTAATTAAGTTAAGCTCTCTAAATTAATCTCCTTAACAAGAAGTACATTTGCAATTACTTTATATGTTTCTAGTTTAAGGACATGACAAGCACTAGTAAGATTATTCTATACAACTTAGACATTAAATATCACATTTTATACACTCGACTGATTAACCATTATCAAAATATCCTAAAAAACACTTACAAGTATTATTGTGGAACACTCGATTAGAAATTTTTGAATCTATGCATGTAATACAGAAATTAGAATCTCCTTAACTGCAATTTAAACATGAATAGTGGCATTTCTAGCAAATTTCAATTCCAGAATCATAATATCCTATGTTACAGCCACAAGTAAAAAATTGCTCATTAAAACTTCTATTTGATTCAATAGAGCAAAATTCACATTTGGTTGGAATCTCATTGCATTTAAGACATGAATAATGGCATTCTATTGATTATTTTAGTAATAATAGATACACTGACAATTTTCATTATATCCGTCATCATAATATCCTTAAATACATTAGCATTTAAAGAAACTTGAAACTAATATTCTAAAGGTATTATCTTTGCATGAAGTGCAGCTATCAGGCTATTACTTACATTCTTGACATTTATAACTACATGCTGTAAATAAAATTCATTGATACTTTCACATTAAGGCAATCCTGTATCGAAATATTCATTTTTACAAACACAAGTATTATCTACTTAATATCTATTTTCATTTTCCATACAAGTTAGGCAATCTGTCTATTCAATACCTTGACAAGATCCGCAAGAATAATGGCATTCTAATAATTAAAGAATTTAATACTTTAACATTTAACTTAACCATTAAAGTCAAATGTACTTATAGCACCACCTAAAATTTTACTGGTGCATATACAAGTATTTCCCTCTAAATATCTGTCATCATAGCAAGAAGTACAATTATCAAATTAGTTTATACATTCATAACAGAAAGCACTGCAAACTATAAGCTTAAATCTAATAACTACTAGCGCATTCCTAAACTCCCATCTCAAAATAATGAGGTTGACATTTGCATTAATCCACTTTTAGTTCTCTATTTGCAATAGAATCACAGGAAAGACATTGATTTTCTCCATAAGCTGTACAGGTTTTGCATTTTAAGTGACATTCTTTAATATTAATAAATTAAATACTTTAACATGCTATCTCGTTTTCTTTATCATATAATTCTCCAAAACACTAACAACCCTTAATTGGATCTAGAATTCTCAAAGAGTTTAATGGACAGGTTAAACATTTATCCTCCGTAGTCTCACATGTTTCACATTTAAATGAGCATTCTATTAATTAATAATTTATAATATTACTTTTACATTATGCTAGACCTGGTACTTCATAATATCCATCAATACATTTACAAAAATTACCTTTTAATACTCTAAAATGAAGATCTAAAGAACAAACGATACAACCATTATCAGTATCATCGAAACATTTTTGACAAGAATAATGACAACCTATTGATATTTTTAATAAATATACTTCCACATTATAATTCTCCTACATCATAATATTTATCTGGACAGAGACATGATGTAAAATCAAGATATCTATATTTTTTATCGCAAGTTAAACAATTAGATGAAAGTGGCCCATTACAAGTTAAACAAGTGAAATCACAGGGTAGACATGTTAATGAAAATCCATCATCAAAATAGTTAGAAAATTCACAAATACACTCATAATTACCAGCAGATGGATTACTAGATATTCTAGTTTGAGGACATTCTATACAAGCATCTTTTTCAGGACTGTTGGCACAATTTTAACAAGTGTAATAACATCCTATTAATTATATAATAAATGTATAAGTACTTGAACATTCAATGTTATTAGTTAAATCATCATAATATTATAATTAACATAAACATTAACCTAAAATAGTTAAGTATCTATTTGATGTTTCTAAACAACTTACACAACCTGTAGGTTAAGAATTTTAACAACTTCCACAAGTATAATCACAAGCTATGATAATATATGAAATTTACTGAAACAAATATTTTCAGTACCATTATTATCACCATAATTATCTATGCATTCACATTTAAAATCTTCTGATACAATTCGATTTTCTCCAGGAATACATGTTAAACAATATTAATTTGTAGTTTCATCAGCAGGTTAGAAACAGGTTTAACATCTTGAATGACATTCTAAATAAATTAAATAAGTTAATACATCCACATTTATTATCCTTAATTTCATATTCAGCATATCCAATTTTACAAGGACAAGTATTATCAATTAGAATTCTGAAAGATATACTTTCATCTAAGCATTCAGTACATTCTGAATTTGATGAACAATTTAGGCAGGATTTATCACAAACTTAAAATATGAATAAGCAAAAATACAAATACAAATTTAATCTTCATTTTCAGGATCATATGTTCCAGGTGAACACATACATTGTTTATCTACAATAATTCTATTAGATTCTGGTTTACATGTGATACATTAATAAAAATCATGTATTTCACATTCATAACAATATCCATCTTAACATGGTTTACAGACATCAAGATATTAACCATTAGGTGGTTAACATGAGCAAGTACCATTAATAACATCAAGTGTTAGAAATTTATATCCATCACAAGTAGTACAAAATAAAGGATTAGTATCTAAACATGTTTGACAATTTGAACTACAAGTTATAGTTGTAGGTGAGCAAGTACCATCAGGTAATAATGGATGCCATGGTAAACAAGCTATACATATATTTTCATCTTTTATGTTTATTTAGAAGCAATCACTATTAAATTTAGTGCAATATCCTTTTACACTTACATTTGGAATATATTCAGCTGGTTAATATCCAAATTCGCATTTATTACATTTATACTAAATGTTTTATATATAGTATTACTTCTGGTGTTTTAAATTCATATAATTCATCCCAGGTTTTTTCCTGCGATCCTGATACTATATACTAATATTCATATAAACAATTCATATTATTCACGCATACATATACTTATACATCACCAGAATATTTTAATATTCTTTAATAGCCTGATGCACACTAATGACAAGATATATATTGATAATTTCCTGGAGATTTCACAAAATCACATGATAAACATTCTATGTCATTACCACATCCTATAAAGGTTTATAATCAAAATAAATACTTTCGCAATTAGTACCCAATTTTCCAAAATATTTAGCACAAGTATCTTTTGATTTAATTTAACCACTAGTACTATCCAAATAACATACTTTAGAATATGTTGGGCAAGCTAAGAAAAATGATCAATTTATATATCTTACGAAGTGAGCAGGATTGTTTTGGTTCAATATATCCAACAGTACATGAATCACAATCTAAACCTGCACATGATTCACATACCTGGGCAGCACATTCTATTTTAAAAAATATTTTTTATACATTTAGGACTACTTTTACTTTTTTCATAATCAAATCCTAATTTGCTTTCCATACAATCTCTTTTATGATAAGGATGTTTGCAAAATTCGCATTAAAAATCATATCCCTAATTATCTGTATAAGATCTAGGCACTGCTATATATACCATGCATAATTCAATATCCTTTAATTTCTCACATTTATAAGACATTAATCCATCTTCAAATTATAGTTTTATTATCAAAGAATATGGATAAGTGCAAATTACTGTAATATTATCATACTTCATTTATTCTGTTTAGAACCTAGGATGACATAAATGCTAAAAATTATTAAATTATTTAGCTTCAACTTCTGTTACTCCCATACAAATTTGAGAATAAGCTAATAATAATAATATTACTTACAAACACATTAATGTGGATGTAAACCAGGCATATGTACATGAAATTCAGGACATAAATCATCACCAGATGGAAATACAGTTCTAAAATCTTATTCATAATCTTTCCATCCTAAAACTGTTTAGACAACTAAGAACCAATAAATCATATTGTATTTATTATTATTATTGATAATCCTCATCTAAAAATGCTTAAATAGCCAAAATTAGTCTAAAAAATGTAGTTTGGTCTTTTTTTATAAACATATTGGCTCTAAAAATCATTTTTTTTAATTGAATAAAAAAAGAATGTGATGTAGCAACCCTATATCTTATAAGCTCGTGATTTTTGCATATCTATAGAAATAAAAAAATAATAATTCCTCAATTTGCATCCTAAATATTTATTAATATGAGTATTGATAATTGATAAAATTTCCAAAAATATACTTATACCGATTTTAAATTAATAATTATGATAATAAATATATTAATGATGTTCAAGTTTTCATTAAACTTAATTAAAAAACGAGGATAGTCTTTCATTTTTTCAACATCCATTATGGCATCCAACCATTATTAATTAAATATATTATACATTAATTTTTAGTATGAAAGGGTAATAATCTATTGTTCTAAATAAAATTATTTTCCTAAAAATAGCAGACATCTATTTTTTTTTAAGAGAGATATTTAATTTCCAGCTTATGTTTGTGTTTTATTAAAAAAAAAAATACAACTCTCACATAATCAGTTTTAAAAATATAAAGCCTTACTTAATGATAAAAAAGTATTATAATAAATACCATCTTTTTATAATCAATCACAAATGATAAAAATGAGAAGATTTGAGGACTGGATCAAAAATATTAAACAGTAATAAAAATATTCATAAAGCCTTATTTTCTTTAATAGTAAGTAAAATTTAAACATATAATAAAAAAAATAACAATTCATAAATCATTAAGATGATAGAGTAATTCTTGATATTGTCATTTTAAAAAATTTTTAGTATGTTTCGACATATGTAATGGAGTAGGTAAGAAATTTTTTTTTCCAAAATTTTGAATATATCAACTACATTTTTTGGCTGAAAATTAATTCATTTTTCTTATGAAGAAAAATAATGTAATAACATAGATTGAAATTAAGTTCTTTTTGAGTTTGCCAATAGAAACTACATTAAATTGCTAATGCTATAATAATTTTTATTAACAATACATTAATACATAAAATCATCACTAAATAAAGTAATTGGATTTTTGAATAATAATTTTTATATATTAAAAATCAAATACTTTTTTAAAGAATATTATTTAATTTAAAAATCAAATAGTGCTTTTTTAGATAGAATTATTATGCTAAATAGAATAAATACGTTCACATGTTTTTTTATCTTATAAATGTTGAATTATAGCTTACAATAACTAATAATTTAAAAGAAATGTTTAATACAAGAAGAATTTTACTATTATCTTTTATACTAGTAAGAAAGATTAGATTTTAATTCACCTGAATGCCATAAATATTTGGAAAAGTTTGGTACTGTTGATAATAAGGTTGATCTAGGAGCATCTAAAATTGCTTTTACAGGTGATGTTTCTTTAGAGAATGCAAATTATAAAATAAAAATTAGATATTCAGATTATGAATAATTTAATGATGCTTAATTCTATGGATTAGTTGAATAAGATGGAAAACCACTTGAAAAAACTTGTTTAGATATGAAATTATATCATTATACATCAGAATAATATAAGGATAAGAGAGAAGTAACTACTTTTAAAATAACTCCATTTAATAACTATTAAAATAATTGGAGATATTATTGTTTTAAAATAAAATTAGAAGAATTTAGTTAATATTTGATATAGACATAGAATTCAAATCAAAATATTTATAATGGATATTTTGCAATTGCATATTATGCAGCTGAAACAGATTAATTGCATTATACATTCTTCTTTTAATTTTCGATAATTAATGACAGATTTATTGGAATTTTAATTAATACATTTTTTCAACCTTTTAGTGCTGCTTCTACTCTTTCATGTATTATAGAAGAATGTACGGCTAAGCCAGATACAAAACTCAATTGGTGTAAAGATTTAACTTGTTCTGAATTCCTAATCTTCATTTAAATGATTAATTTATATTATAATAGATTATTACTACCAAAGGAATGGAAGACTATTATTTAACTGATACTGAAGTACGGTATACTGGAAATGGACTTTAAAAAAAGGCTCATATTGTATATTGTGAGTTTCAACAATAATATTAAAGGCTAAATAATACTTTAATTAAAAGCTGAAATTGTTTGGTCAGAAAAGTTAAATCTGTACTTTCAACTACTACTATCGGAACTAGAAGACTATTACAATAAAACTACAAATTATATTCCTATAACCTAAACAGCTACAGCATCTTCATAAAAATAATATCATACCGTTAATGGATAAACTGATTAAATTTATTGTATTATACTTTTATTTCAATATCTTTATCAAATAACAATATTGCAATTTTATAAACTATTTAAACCTAATAAAATTTATAGAAAATTGTATCAAAGATCAAGATTTTTCATTATGATATTTTACTCCAATTTTTTAGAATATCTTGACTTCTCAGGTAGAGTTATAAAAATTACCAGATCCTAATTACCAATAACACTTTACTAAACGATTAGAAATAATAAAATAAATTTTGTAATATTCATAAATAAGGTGGTCTTTGAAGAAATCATTAATAAAGTTACATCTGCTTATGATGTTCCTGTTATCATATTTTTTAAGAAATCTCTATGTCCTGGTGCATCAATCACTCTATAATCAAATTTATTTGATTTAAAATTTTGTAAAGAAATATCAATTGTAATTCCTCCTTCTCTTTCATCTTTAAGATTATTAAAAACCCAGGCATATTTAAATGATCCTTTACCAATTTTATTAGCTTCTTCTTCAAATTACTTTTTAGTTCCTTAATCTATTCCACCTAACTTACAAATTAAATGCCCTATTGTAGTTGATTTACCAGAATCAACATGTCCTATAACAACTAAATTTATTTGTATTCTATTTTTTATTATTACATTTAATAATGATTTTAACTTAACTAATAAAATCATTTAAAAATCATAAGGTAATATTTAATGACTATATTAAAAAAAATTATCACTTCATTATATTTAAATCACATTTATTTTAATATAATCATCTTCTTTAATTTATTCATCTCTTACATATCAATAATAATTTTAAAGATTCAATAATATTAGATATACCCCTATAATGATTGTAATGTTTTAAATAAGAAATTTCTAAAATATAATAAGTATTTCTGAAAAAGGATTAAAACAATTATAAGTTTACTATAATAATTAATTTATATATAGATTTGATTAAAAATTATTAATCTCAATTTCATAGATAAATAAATAAAAATACTTTGAAAAACTTAATATACTTCTAATAAATAATTTATTTTATTCAGCATATAATATTTCTAAATCATAAAAATCTATCATTTCTTACATAATATTGGTATGATAGTAGCACAAAAGAGTGATGCAAATCAAGAAGACAACACATATAATAAATGCATTTTATTTTTCAATAGAATATTCTTCTCTATCCTTAAAATTTAGATAATTATAATTACATTTTAACTTTTATTTTCTAATACATATAATCGTTCAGGAGATAGATATTTAACTTCTCTTAATGTAAAGACTTTTTAATATGCATTTTATTGATTAGCTAAGCAAAATAATTCTAATAGTTTAACTGCACCATTTAACTTAGTTCTAATATTCTTTGGATGTAAATCTTAATATAGAAAATTATTACTTTAAAGATTTTTCAAACCAGAAAGTATTGTTTATGTTAAATACCAAAGTTCTCCTTCATTATAACTAGATTAAATATATTATTATTTAATACATTCTATCATAAACTCTTCGATTTAAAATATCATCTTAAAGACTTTTATCTAAATATTCAAGTCCAATATGTAATAAATTAATATTACTATGTAAACCTTCTGTTGTTTATATTAAGTTAGTCCTTTTTCCATATCAGATTAATCATAAAATTTTATAAGTGCCATTTATCGTTTGATCTTATTGCTAAATAATTGAATTTCTCCCTCTAAACCTAAATATTTTNCCTATAACCTAAACAGCTACAGCATCTTCATAAAAATAATATCATACCGTTAATGGATAAACTGATTAAATTTATTGTATTATACTTTTATTTCAATATCTTTATCAAATAACAATATTGCAATTTTATAAACTATTTAAACCTAATAAAATTTATAGAAAATTGTATCAAAGATCAAGATTTTTCATTATGATATTTTACTCCAATTTTTTAGAATATCTTGACTTCTCAGGTAGAGTTATAAAAATTACCAGATCCTAATTACCAATAACACTTTACTAAACGATTAGAAATAATAAAATAAATTTTGTAATATTCATAAATAAGGTGGTCTTTGAAGAAATCATTAATAAAGTTACATCTGCTTATGATGTTCCTGTTATCATATTTTTTAAGAAATCTCTATGTCCTGGTGCATCAATCACTCTATAATCAAATTTATTTGATTTAAAATTTTGTAAAGAAATATCAATTGTAATTCCTCCTTCTCTTTCATCTTTAAGATTATTAAAAACCCAGGCATATTTAAATGATCCTTTACCAATTTTATTAGCTTCTTCTTCAAATTACTTTTTAGTTCCTTAATCTATTCCACCTAACTTACAAATTAAATGCCCTATTGTAGTTGATTTACCAGAATCAACATGTCCTATAACAACTAAATTTATTTGTATTCTATTTTTTATTATTACATTTAATAATGATTTTAACTTAACTAATAAAATCATTTAAAAATCATAAGGTAATATTTAATGACTATATTAAAAAAAATTATCACTTCATTATATTTAAATCACATTTATTTTAATATAATCATCTTCTTTAATTTATTCATCTCTTACATATCAATAATAATTTTAAAGATTCAATAATATTAGATATACCCCTATAATGATTGTAATGTTTTAAATAAGAAATTTCTAAAATATAATAAGTATTTCTGAAAAAGGATTAAAACAATTATAAGTTTACTATAATAATTAATTTATATATAGATTTGATTAAAAATTATTAATCTCAATTTCATAGATAAATAAATAAAAATACTTTGAAAAACTTAATATACTTCTAATAAATAATTTATTTTATTCAGCATATAATATTTCTAAATCATAAAAATCTATCATTTCTTACATAATATTGGTATGATAGTAGCACAAAAGAGTGATGCAAATCAAGAAGACAACACATATAATAAATGCATTTTATTTTTCAATAGAATATTCTTCTCTATCCTTAAAATTTAGATAATTATAATTACATTTTAACTTTTATTTTCTAATACATATAATCGTTCAGGAGATAGATATTTAACTTCTCTTAATGTAAAGACTTTTTAATATGCATTTTATTGATTAGCTAAGCAAAATAATTCTAATAGTTTAACTGCACCATTTAACTTAGTTCTAATATTCTTTGGATGTAAATCTTAATATAGAAAATTATTACTTTAAAGATTTTTCAAACCAGAAAGTATTGTTTATGTTAAATACCAAAGTTCTCCTTCATTATAACTAGATTAAATATATTATTATTTAATACATTCTATCATAAACTCTTCGATTTAAAATATCATCTTAAAGACTTTTATCTAAATATTCAAGTCCAATATGTAATAAATTAATATTACTATGTAAACCTTCTGTTGTTTATATTAAGTTAGTCCTTTTTCCATATCAGATTAATCATAAAATTTTATAAGTGCCATTTATCGTTTGATCTTATTGCTAAATAATTGAATTTCTCCCTCTAAACCTAAATATTTTATATTCAATATATGAATATCTTACCTGTGATTAAAATACAAAAAATGTCTAAATTGTGAATTACCAAATATTATTTTGGAGATGGTTAGATGCTATTGATCCTTCAGGTTTTAATTCATAATAATGTGCAAATTGAAATATCATTAATTTATAATATTTGTTTATTTAAATTTAATTAAATATGCTAGTGATTATGATAGTTACAATAATAAATGTTAATTTTCATTAGCTACAATATGCACTAAATGTTAAACAAGATGTTAAATATATGCTTACCTTCTAATGATTAAATCCGCAATCCAATATGTGGAGATTCAATTTTAGTATCTGGTGAACCATGTAATGCAGTGTTAGTATTGCCATATAGCGATTGCTAAAGTTGCAAATCAAATTGTAATATCATGTACATCTTGCAATTTAAATATTTTACTTATAATAGTCATACTTGGCTGCAATGCGCCTTTTAATTTATTATTTGAATCTCCCTAACTAAGAATATCTATTTTGTAATGTACAAAGTAATGATTATATTCTGAGTGATTATTGCTTGCAAATGTTTAAATGCCAAAGTTTAAACAATCAGTAAATAACAATCAATTTAATTAGTAGTATTTGTTCTTTTAAATTCTGGTAAGGGATGTTTAACAATTTCCAAAAGAAGAATACTTGAACTTGATACTAAAAAATTTTTAAACAGCTTGCATCTCTTGAGTAACTAATAATCGAATTTAATTTACCATCTAATTTTATTATAATAACAAAACAATTTTATTATTCAAAAATTTGATCTCTGTCTAAGCTAGTCTTTTAATTCATTTTGTCTTCAAGACCTCTTTCAATTCTTTTATAATTTTATTTATTACTTTTGGAGTTACGCTTAATTTATTGAACTTTTTAAATAATTATAAACTTTTTCATATATTGCTGCTTTATTAATTATTATTTTGGTTTAAATGAATTGCAATTCTAAAAAATAAAAATGATAAATCAAATAATCGAGAAGAATATATGAAATTCTTTGCAATTTAAACTAGGATTAAAAATCAAAATTGCTATTCAATGAATCTGAATCTATGACAATTTAAGATATACTTTAGGAGTTTATGAATAATAATACTTTAAAGGTGAAAAAATTTTTAATCGCTGATTAATTCCTAAATTGTCCTTATACATAAAATATTGTCCGTTTAAATATAAGGAGGATTAGCAATATTATAGTAACTTTATATAACTACCTTAGCACCAAGTCTTAGCGATAATTTGATCTGTTATCGGATGTTAAAGAGAAGTTTATAAATTGAACATTCAAATGGAAAATACAAAGTATTATAGTCTAATTTAAAGCTCCCTAAAATTAAAATAGTTCTCTGCAGAAAGGAATATTTATTGAGCTGACATATAGTATGATTATCCCATTAAGCTTTTTATTATCTTGATGTAATAAATGTATAGAGTTGATAATTTCTTAAGAAGCTAAATAAGTGAGAAGTCTAATAAATAGAAAGAATAATCATGACCATCCAATTTTACTTTTTTAAATCCTTTTTTAGCATCCCATAAATGGATATAGTTATGTAAACTACCAGATCATTTCATCAATTAATACAAAATTAAACACCCTAATAATTGCATCACTAAAATCAATTAAAATAAATTGTAGCATCAGTTAAATTTCCATCATTTTAATTTTCAAACATTTAAAACCAACATTTCAAAATAAAGCGCCTTTATAATTTTAAATATAATGGATTAAATTAAAAAAAAATCAACGAAGTATTAAAGAGGAGTCTATTGGAAGTACAAATACTATAGCGAGGAGCTAAACGAAGAAACTTATGTGACAACAATGATGGAATAATATCAAACAGATGGTGTAAAAGCCTTTTGGGGTTAATATTCTATAAATAACTAAAATAAAACATGTTTTTTACATTGTATTGTAAGTTTTGGCAAAAGAGTTTCACCCAAGATTGTAAAACTTAAGTTAAAACTTGGAGATGTAAAAGTAAAAGCAATTAGGAAGTCTTTGTTAAAAGATGAAATTAAAAATTGTTTAGATGTAAGAATAAGAGTTGCAGGAACTCAATACATAGGTTCAGATACATTAAGGAGAGATAAACAAAAAGAAAAAATTCAAAAAGAGAGGGAGAAAGAATAAAATAAGATATGTTAGATAATAAATTAATAAATATAAACAGAGGTTTTATTACAGTTAATTTTTAGGAAATCTAAGAATCCAATTAATAATTTTACAAGTTATCATAACTCCTTGATTCTAATCTTAGAATAGAGTAGAGAGGTGTTAGAATAGAATAGCAATTGGATATAATTAGAAAATTTTTGGAGAATATATAGCAGGAGAAAATGGAACCCTATAAATCTTTGATCTTATTAGATTGATTAATTATCATCCACTATATAAACCTATACATAATATATCTTAAAAAGTTTAAAGTAAATCTCAAAAACCAATGCTTGCCCGACATTAAGAGGAAAAATACTAGTTTGATTAGTGAAAATTTTTTTAGATGTAATTTTAGTAAAACAAAACATTTTAACAAGAATTATGAAAGTAAATTCATCCTCTATAAGATCTCAGTCAATTCTAAGAATTTAAATAGAGTAATTATATTTTTAAAGGATTGGATAAAGTGAATCGATTATAGTAAAATAGTAATTCTCTTTAAAAAAATCATCAATTAAGTTTATGTATATATTATTGTAAGGACATCATATAATAATCATTTTACTTTAGCTATTGTATTTTCAAAAATTTTGATGATTTTATTTTAATTATATGAATACTTATTTGATTATTTTAAAATTATTATTCTTAATAAAATTTCATAAAATTACAAAAAAAGTATCCACATGAATAACCATTTTTTTGTTAACCTGATTAATTGTGAATTTCAACGTTTTTAAAAGTTATCTTTAGAACTTCTGCCAAAGTTTATATTAAATTTTAATTGAGTATATAAAAATCATAAGAATATGATGTTGAATCAAAGATCTATACTTTTCCATTTCAAGAATTAAGTAATATAAAATACCAATGATTATTGTTTTTGTTGATTGTAATTCCAATTTTTTTATATATCTTTGTTATGTCTAATAATTCTTATTCTAAAAAATTATTTGCTCTTTATTTATCAAATTTTATTCAAAATTTTGTAGTTAAGGTAATTGGTAAAAATAATATACGTTTAACTTATTTCTTTAAAATTCTTGATGTTAGAAATTTTCATTTTCACTTTTTATATTAAGCTTTTGAACGTAACTATCAATAATCTACTTGCAAACATCCTCCCGTTTTTAATATATTCATATCATTATTTGATATTTATTAATTATACTTACACCAACTTCTTACACCTATGATTATGATTTTCCATTTTCATATAAGTATCAATTTATTTTACTGTTTCCATATCTATTATAATATTTTTTGATTTAGTTTTTTAATTCAGATTTTGATTATTAAAATTATTCTTAGACTCAAAAAAATTAAATACTATGTCCACTTAATAAAAATTGTCTTTACTTCAAATTTATTAAAAAAACTTTTATTAAGTTTATACTTTGGATTGAAATTTTCATCATATTCAGTTTAATAAATAAATCCTTCTATTTCATATAAATTTTCATCTTATTTTAATAAATCTTACTATATACAATTCACTTTATACTAAGTATATTAGAAGAATAGAACATTTTTATATTTATCTTGTATAATTTAGATGAGATTATATTTAAATTGATTACAATCCATAATCCAGCATTCAAAAATATTTCCTTATAGACTAAGATTATTAGATAATTTTTGCTATTTATTTTGATCATTTTCATATTATTAATTATTCTAAATTTATGATGTTTCAAAAAAGCTTTCTGAATTATTTCCTTTTTTTCGAAAATTAAAATGACCTTAAATGAGTAGAAATAGTACATAACAGACATCCCATTCTGAATTTAGAAATATTTTATATAAATTTATTACAATTAAATTTTATTTATCTATAAAGTTTAAATGAGCTTTACTTTGAAATATCGAGATTATGAATCAATTATCTACATACTTTTAAGAAGGATTTTAGTTGAAATTTATATGAACCAAAAATATTGAAATTTTGAATACAGAATAATAAATTAGGCTAAATTCATATAATCAATTTTTAAATATTCATTAGACTCTAATATTTACAAAATTGGGAATAATGATAAGTTGATAATTTTGGTATTCTTTAATTTATTTGGAATTATTAAATAATTTGATATAACTCATAGTTTGGCTTAATTTTAAGATTTGCAGATCAATATATTTTGTTCATCTCACAATTAAAACTTAAATAATTTGTTTACCATTTTCTTAAATTAATATAAAATTCAAAACTACTTAATGTGAAAAATATTGACTTAAATATAATCTGAATATTTTTAATAGATTCAAAGATTATAAAAAAATTTTTTTAGTGTAATTAATATTTTCATACTTTTTATTTATTCACAGTCTAATTAATAAACCAAAAATCAAGGCTTTAAAATTAAGAATCTTTTGCATACAATCATTACTTAAAAAAAAATCATTCTTTATTTATGATTCAAAGAATTCTTTAATTTTCATCTGCTCTTTGAATTTTAAAAGCTAATCCTAAATACATAACTAAACTGATTAAAATCTCTTATAATTTTTAATTATTAATAAAATCGTCAATAGCAGATAAATTAACTTTAAATGACTCAAATAACTACGTTAATGCAATCAATTTTCATTCATAATCAATCTTTTCTTGATTTTCAATAAAATCCATCTAGAAAATTATCTACACCCTTCAGCAGTTCTTAATGTATTAATTAATGAAAGGTAAAACAAATTACTTCTTGTGAAAGAAATTGTTTAAATTTTATTATCAATCATTGATATGTAAAGTGGATAAAATAGTGAAGGAGCAAACGAAAAGCTTTGAATTTTTCCATTCACATTATACATCTTTCAAATAGATAATCTAATTAAATATATAAATACTTAGAACTCATCTTTCTCAAACAGTTGCCACGGTTTATTAACCAGGCTGGATGGAATTTGATTTCTTCCTATTCTTGGCTCTTTTTCCGATCTGTCCTTATTATCACCTGTATTTGAGGACAATCTAGTCAAAGCTACTATAAGGACAACAATAGATAGAAAGATCAGATTCGAGGGAAGTCTCAAATTAATATATATTTTTCTAATAAAGTATTTTTATATTATTGGATATAAAGAATTTGGAGGACCTTTTGTATGGGCTTAGGCTAAATTTTTATGAATCAATAATATAAAGACCTACACCATAGTATCACTATTGCATTTTATATTCTTAATGAACCATAATTCCCAACTGATGGAAGATTTATCTATAAAAATGAAAATAATACACCAGTTTTAAAATCAACTGCAAACTTTTATTAATCTTATTCTGATTGATCTAAATACAATAAAATATATGAAAGAATTGTTCATGATACAAATTTCTTAATATCACTTGGGAATATTTTGGTTCAAATAATGAGCCGCTTTACATATTTAAACTTGTTTTAGAACTACAATTAATGGTTACTTAACATGAGATTCTACTTTAATAGAAAATTAAAAGGATTGAAATGTGAACGAAAACCTGGGTATTATGATTTTTTGAATATTTGTCAAGATATTCATTTTAATTATAATTTTAGATTTTCCAACTGCTTCAGATGGAAACACTATTTAATTTAATGGATGCTTTGACTGTAAATTTTAATGTTAACTTTACTTAAATGCACAAAATGTATTAAAGGAGAGTTTCTTGAATGTGCAACCGATGGATGGTATTTTCTCCTTGGATATGCAAAGAAAGATGTGGAGATTAAATTAAAATTGGAATAATATCATGATGCTAATTCAGATGACATAAGAATCTAGGATGGCATTTGTTTATATACCTCTGAAACAATTAGGATGAATAATTCTTGTTTAAATTTATGCATTAATAATTGTAAAATTTGTGAAGAAGAAAAGTAAATATCTTGTATTTCAAATTACTGATTATTTGACAATTAATGGGTTTTACAAAATTATACCGAAAATACTTTTATAAAAAGCAATCAAATTAGTGAGGGAAAGGGCGAAATATAAATTTTTGATAATTACTATGTAGCTAATAAATAAGTATTCTTCATTTTGATGAAAAGGAATCTTTATCTAATTTAAATTTATCTTTTGATATATAATTTGTTTAGTACGATATAGCTATTGAGTTTTTGATATTACTAGAAACATAACCTATTTTATAAGTTTAACATAATCATAAAGCAATTATTGTTAGATTGATTTTCTCTGTCATTTTTCTTATATAAAAAGTATAATTCAAATAATCAATAAATTCTTGATTATAATTAAGTTGTTTATTAACTGGAGAAGGCTCCATATTTGTTGAAACTCTTAATTTTACGTAATATCTATCATTTTTTAGATTTATCAACATTATCCAGAAAATCTCTATATTTATCACAAGGCGTAAGAATTATTATAGTTTCAATCGAGAAAATTTTCAATAACAACAGAGCAATATATAGAATTTCTTGACATTCAGGAATATTTATAAATTATTACATTTAAAGAGAATTCATTTCAACCATATGGAAAATTTAGATTATATAATATATAATTAGTCAAAACTTTAAAAAAAATTTAAATCTAATACAATTATAGATGCAGACTTTTGTCTGGTAAATATCATCTTAAATTTTTTAAGAATTAATGTTTTTATAATAGAAAAATTTTTTCAATACTGTAATTTTGCTTTTATTGAGTAAGAAGCTCTACTTATTGTGTTAAAAATCTCTAAATTTAATACTTAAAACATTCTAATAATTTTTTGAAAACTAATAATCAAAATTAGCAACAATCATTTTAGAATAAATTAGTAGAATAAATAAAAAATAAAAATTCTGTACTGTTATTTCTCTTTTTCACTAAATATTAATTCATGGGATATTTTGTTTAAAGCAATTTTATTTCTTCTACTTTTGAACTTTGTGGAACAATATAATTTCATATTTTATAATAGTAGCATATTCTGATATTATTTAGTAAAACATTTTAATTATTGGATTTTTTCATATGTTTATTTACTTTTTACTTTGAGGCTTTGTTTAATTAAACAATTTTTACCATTTTTTGTTAATTTAATAAAATTTATCTTTAAAAATTTGAAAAAGACCTTTTGATAATTTTTTTGAGACATATTTCGAATTAATATTTACAATATACGAATAAATATGTCTTGATTAATTAAAATTTTATTAGAGTTTTAAGAAGTATAACTAAATATAACAGATTTATAACAATTATTGAACTTTAACTGGCAATAGATTATTTAAATTCTTATATTATCTGTTCTAGCTAAGAGTTATCTCAAGATCATTTTGGTTATTCACCACTGAATTTTTAGATTTCAAATCCTTATTTTTAAATTTATTCTAAATAATTTTAATCCTCATTTTCTCACTTTTTTCTCTATTGATGATTTGCTAAATTTTATATTTAGTTGCAAGTATTCCATTTTGTCCACAACTTTATATTTAAATATATTCTCAGTTGCAATAATTCTAATATTATCTTATTTTCTTTTATAAAATGAGGATTAATTCTATTTTAAAATTCATCTATATTTATCTATATTTATCGTAGAATAAGATAATTAAGAATTTATTATTTTTATCTAATTTATATATGAAGTATTTAATTAAATTAATTTAAAATTTTTTAGCTTTGTCTTAAAATTATCTTTATTTATTATGTGCTAAATCTACAAAGACATCAAAAATAAAAAAAACACTCATTATCCAAATTCCTTGGATTAGAGTATTGCTCAACCATTATCACTTTAACATTAAGCTTTGAATAATTCCAAAATATTTATTATTATTGAATACCTAAATTACCTAATTATAAAAAAAATTCTTTCTTAAAAAAAGTAGAAATTGATTTTATCTACCGTAATATAAATTCAATCCTAATTAATATAATATCATTTATTTTAGTTGACCAAAAATTATGAATTTCTTAATAATATTTCTCTCTTCTATTCTATTCTATATCAATTAATTAATCTTGAATAATATAATTTATTAAAATAGCAGTTTGAAATAATAGCACACTATTTGAAAGTGGAATTGAATAGCATATTAGATAATTAATTATTATGTCTATTTTTATTTATATCTCTAATAGAAATTTATAATCTTAAATGAAAAATTATTTAAAAGTATCCTGAAAAACAGCATACAAGTTCAAAATCATTAATCTTAAAATAATCAATCCTTAATTTAAGAATCGCCAAATTAATTTTTCTTCAATAAAACATAATAACAATATAAATCCTTTCTAATAGAAAAAAATTATGCTATTAATTGACAATTAAAAATTAAGAAATCTTTACTTTTGATCTTGATGTTTTAATCTTTGAAGTGTTTCTGGAAATTTACATTAAATTAGATAAATGATTTGAATAAATATTGACTGTGATTATCCAAAAATTAAAAAAAGATTATCAATCATAGTTATGAAAATAAGACAAAGTTGAATTTGCAAATTTACAATTTGACAGTTGTAAATTTTAATAAAATTACACCCTCTAAATCTGTATTGATTCTTATATGTGTTTATTTTCTTATTTTTAATGTGGATTTTATATGATCACGATCTAATTTATTATAATTGAATTAAATTATAACATTTGAAATTGATTGGTACTTTTAAAGAGCTAAAAGAAATAATTTGATAAATCAGTTCTTCTGGATGTAATGTACGAAATCCGATTTGTTCCTTTTTTTTTTGATTCAACCAGAATTCATAAGAAATGTTCTCAGAATATTCTTCTTTTTAATTCTCTCTATACTTCTCTGTTGTCTCTTCTCTATCTCGTGGCACCTCCATTACTCCAACTTTGAGTTGATTATTTAAATAATTTTCTCCTTTCCCACAGAATTTGAAATAAATATGAATAACAGTTTCTTGATCTTATTCTAGAGGAGTAAATAATTAATTTATCTTTATTTGAAGTCTGATTGGTTATTTGTATCTCTAGTATATTTTAAAAAGTCAGTTATACATCAGCAATCTAATTAGTATCGTTGAATTATACTAACTTTTATTGAATATAATTTGATTTCATTTATAAGATTTATAGTATAATTTTATATGACTTCGATCATCAGTGTTTAGATGAGAATGTAATATAAATATTTTTAAATACTAACAAAGATAAATTGTTAATTCTTGTTATAAAATTCTCTATTTATAACTGCATTTTTTTTTCATAATTAATCTTTATTAATAAAAATGACAGACACTTTTTTAAAAGAAAATTATTAAATTTCAGAAACTCAGATAGAGCAAAAGCTTATATCAAAGCTCATGATGGTGAAGAATGAAAAAAATGACTTGCCATTCTCTAAATTTGATTGTAATTATAATATACATGATTAAAAACACAGGATCAATTATCTTGTAATATTAAGAGGAGGAGGGTGTGGAAAATCAAAATAATAGAAGAATATCAACTCATAATAGCAAAAGGATGAAAATTTGATAAATTCAGTTCAAATCCCAAAGGATTATCTAACTAACTTAAATAATTGTTTAAAACTTATTATAGAAGAAGCAAAATTTATTGGAGACATAACTAAGAGAAATTAAGTGATTAAGAAGATTTTGTGGTTTATTCATAACAGAGAATATTTGAATAATTATTGTATTGATCAAAAGGAAGGAAGTTAAATTTATGATTCAGTGTCTGAAAATTTTGAAAAATTATTGGAAGCGCTAATAATTTACTTAAGAAATTCAGGTATTATTTGTTATTAAGTATTAATAATATGTAATGAATTATTAAAAATTATGTATTCATTTTAATTAGGAAATTCATTACGATTTTTAGAAGAAGAAAAAAAATAAGAGTATCTATCAAAATTATCAGAGTTTGACACATAATTAGAAATTGAATCAGCAAATGTTTGGAAAACAGGAATAGAATTTGAAATAAAAATTATGAAAATCATGATTATGAATTCATAAACTGATTCTACTGAAGGAACTGATCTATTAATTAATTTTTTTAAGGAAGCTGGAAAATCCATAGTATCATTATCACCTTCTGAGGATTTACTTTAAACCATCCTCGATGGCGGTAAATATCTACTTCAAAAAGGAATAGAGAAGAAATTATATCCTTAAGAAACTTATTAAACATATTATTTATTTTAATTGATAAAATGGTCTATAATCAAACAATTAAAATCATAATATTCAGTCTATAAATAAATATAGTAATTAAAGGATATTTTTTCACAATATATATTAGTTTCAGACAACTGGATTTTACATTTTTGTTGGATATAGATGATTACTGATATAATTGGGTATCGTCCTATTGTTGATAAATCAAATTTAGAAAAGTAATGGAAATATCTAATTGAAAATAATTTAATTTAATGTGTTTCATATAACAAAAATGAAGCTATAATGAATCTATTTAATAAAGAAAATTAAATCAATGAAGTTGAATTTACTAGAATATTGGATATTTATGGCAAAAAAAAGTTTGCATTATTTTCTTAATTTCTTATGAAAGGAGATCTTACACTTAATGTTAATCTTTGGGATTATTATAAAGAATTCACCTTTAAAAAATAACAAAATAAAATTTAACAAGAGTTTGAAACAATATTAAGAAGTTAAGAATTAGAAGTATTATAAAAATTAATAAATAATTTTAAATTTGCAAAAGATGAAATAATATCAATACATGAAGGAATTATTTAACTTTTTCTAATATATTTTAAAGAGCCTTCTTAAATATAATTGTAAATATTTTAGGATGATTAAGTTGCTTCTTAAAAACAATTCTTAGAAACCTACAAAAGATTGATTATATTAATTATTAAAATTTAGGAATTATCGAACTTTGAAGTTTAAAAATTAAATATGCTTCAACCTTATCTAGATAAATTTAAGAAACAAGATAATTTAGCAAAGATCTAAGAATTAAAATTAAAAATTGATAACTTTTTAGATACCGAATTATAAAATTTTATAATTTTACTTTTAGATTACTTTTTAATTGCAATAAAGTTTGCAAGTGTCATTTACACCAATAGTTTATTTATAGAAAAAAGAAACTAAATGGATTTAGAAAAAATTACCTAATTATTAGAGATTAATACATTTTAAAGGACAATTCTCAATTTTGAAGCTCATTTTGATTAATTTTCTATAAATTTAAATTCTTTCAAACAAAACTTTCTTAAATTCATTTTAGAAGAAAAAGAAATTTTATCAACAATTATTTTAGTGTAAGATCAAAATATCTTAGATATAATAGAATTTAATTGCAAAGGAGAATTGATTAATAAAATTATTTAAAAACTTTAAAGTGAAAACTATATTAATAATTTTAAATTATATGATTCAAAAATGGAAACTTTAGATGATGCAATATAAAATTTGATTGATTGTAAGTTTAGCATCATACTCTTACAATTTTTAAAGTAATTTTCAAATATACAATTCTAATAAGTGTAGATAATTTATTAATAGTTGAAAAGTTATACTCAAAACCACAACTAATAAAAAATAGAGACAGGAGAAGAAATGTATTTACAGACAATTGCAGCTATTTTAATTTAATAATAATTAAAAATATCTTAATTGACTAATTAAAATGTCAATGAATCTGATATTTAGAGTTTTTAATTATAATGTAAAAGCATTTTGGTGTAAATAAAGTCTGACTTTATTTTCATTAAAAAGGAATGCAATAAATTACAAAACAATTTCATTACACGCGAGATACTAGAATTTTTAGCAGAAGTTTAATTTCGAATATTATAAATTTTAAATTAGACTGAAGACAGATCAAATTTATTTCAGCTATTAAAAGAATATGAATAAAAATATGATAAATTAAAGGAATAAGAAAAATCTTATGCTTAAAATCATAAATAAACATAAGATTTTGAAGAAATATCGGAAAACTTTCAGAGTCAACATCTGAGGAACAAAGACAAATTTTTAACTGACATTAAGGAAACCAAAAAATATTACAAATAATATGAAAATTTATTAATTCTTTAAATAGATTTATTATAATAGAATGTTAATAGAGAATAAGAAAATCGATTGTAACAATTAAACATGAGAAGAAATAACTTTTTTAGTGAAAAAGTAAAAGCCCAAATAAGATAACTAATTGATGGCTTTCTAGAATTAAACTAACTAAAATAAATTGATATTTTTCTCAAATTACCAGACTTTTTAAGCTTTTATTATTCTTTATCTAATAATGAATATTTACATGGATTGAAAGGGGATAAGATTAATGATTCAATTTTGTAGGAAATTAAAAATGCATATAAGGATAATAAAGAGAAGCTACTCGATTCAATAGATCTTAAACCTGACCATAAGGTACGAGAAGGTTTAGTTTATAATTTAATAAAATTATAATAGAGTATTTAAGAGTAACAGATTAATTCCTTTTCAACAAAACAAATATAATATATGTGGGTATTTGAAAAAGACTAAAGAGTTAGAAATTTACTAAAAAATAAAGAATTAATAGAAATTTAGAAATAGTTATTTTCTTAAGATTAAGATAATTTATCTAATTCAATATAAGATGAATTAAAATAAAGAATGGAAAGGTTAGAAAACCTTTAGTAACAAATTAAACTTGAGGGTAATTAACAAAAAAGAGAGCAGCTTTAAACGCAATTAAAATTAAATTATGATGAATTGGATATATCTCTTGACAACATATCAGAAATGTCAGAGACCATGAATATTAGTTTATTATTTTTGAGGGATATATCAAAGGATATAAAATCAATGAAAAATTCAATCGATAATTTATAATAAAGTTTAAATTAAGTAGGAGATGATATTCGTAAATTAAGAGGAAAAAGCTATAAAGAGTTATTAGATATTAGAAAAGAAAAGATATTATTACAATCAAAAATAGCAGAAGTAGACTCAGTTTATGTATAATTAATGACTATTGAATATGATCCTGTTAGTGGATAAAGTATTAAAACTAATGATAATATTGAAACATCATTTTTGATGGCTGATAGATGGGATGATTTCACAGGAGAAATTAATGAATTTATTTGGTGCTAATTAAAATAAAAAGATGTGATGCTTCTTTCAGGATATGCTGGCTCTGGTAAAAGTAAAGCAGCTAGAAAAATAGAAGAATTTTTATGGAAATAACAAAACCATTAGATTAAATGGATTCCCATCTTTGTTTCTCTTCCAACAATACAGAATCCAAAATATAATTTATTTGAATAAGCATTAGAATCTGAAAACTATTAATTTGACAAATACTAAATAAGGGAATTCAAAGAAGCAATATAATCGAAGAAAGAATATATTATTTTAATTCTTGATAGCTATGACGAGATGAAATAAGATTTTATTTAATAAAACCTCATTATGACAAATAAATTGTTTTAAGATTTGAGTATTGATAAATTAACTAGTTAAATGAAGGTTATTATTACAACAAGAAAAGAAATATTAAATACTGTTGGGTATTAAATTTGGTTTTATGGAGATAGTTTATAAACTTTAAAGGAAGTTTAATTATAAAATTTTAATGAAGATTAACAAAGGTAATATTTGTATTAATATGTTGAATTAAGTGTGAAAAGAAAAATAAAAGCAATTTATGAGTTTGTTAAATAAATTTCAGGATAAAACTTTGATTTAGTAGAATTTCTTGATATTTGGAGTTTAATATCTTAATAGATTAAGAATTGTATTTAAAAATCTGAAAATTAAGGGTAAGATGGAATTTTTCAAAATAAAGAAGAAGAAATAATAATTGGAAAAATTAAAACTCATAAAATTTTATAAATATTAACAGACGAATAAGCAACTGGATTAAAAAAGGAATTATTGGGTTTATGGAGTGCTAATAAATTTATATAATCAATTGAGAGTGTGAAAATAGAAGATTTATTAAAAACTCCATTTATGTTAGAAATTGTTGTGTAAGTGTTGCCAAATATGACCTCGAAATATTCAGGATCAACAGCTATAAAAAAAGACTTTATTATAAATCTGTTAAAATTAAGAAAACAATTTAGACTTTCATAAAATGCAAGAGAAAAATATAAAAAATAAATTTTGCTTTTCTAAAATTAATAATAAACAAGTATGGTAAATCTTGATGAAGAATAAATACCTGAAGAAGAACAAGATGAAGAAAATTAATCAAAAATTGATAGAGCAAAAATTGATGAAATTATTGATAGTCTTGATAATTAAAAATTTTTTTAGAACTATTCAATTGTTAGTAGATTAAAACAAAATAGAGACTCTATTATTTTTGATGGTTACACAATAAGATTAAATCCTGATGATCTTAATATTGTATTAATGGCTTTAAAGATGAAAAAATTCACAGTTTTCGAATTTTATGAAAGTTTTATTAATTTTTATCATGAATAACAAATTCAAAAATAACGAGAACTTGGTAAAATATCAAATTATGAAAGTTTTATATTTGATGTAAATCAATTTTCTTGTTCTTTAGCAATAGATATGACACTAAAAGATTTATCATAAATAGGCTATAAACCACAAGGAAAATTAGATTTAAAAAGTAATTACAAAATTTAATAAGTTATTGATGATTGGTTGAAACAATATTTTGATGTTGAAGATGAATATAAGAAATTAATTAGAAGTTGTATCTTATTAAGTGCTAAGGGAAGTACATTTTCATTCACACATAAATCAATTTAAGAATTTTATGTTGCCAAATATATTTTTGATTTATTAATTTCTTTGAATAACATTGATTAAATTATAGAATGTAATAAAAATTTAGAATAACCTTAATAAAAGCTTTAGAATAACATTAATTAAAATACAGAATATAACAATGAAAATTTGGAATAAAATAAAGATATTTTGTTAAAATCACTATTTAATTAAGAAAATTTTAATATTAGTACAGATAACTATAAAGGTGTAATCAACTTTGTTAGAGAAAAACTAATTAATGTAGAAAATATGAATTAAAAATTGATTTAAATAGTTAAACTTTCATAGTTTAAAAATTAAAATTATTGCAGAGCTTCATCAAACAGTATTTATTTACTAAATTAAATGAATGTTTATTTAGGGTCTTAAGATTTTAAAAATATAAAATTATCTAATACAAATATATCTGGCCTAAGTTTGTTTGATTCTGATTTAAGTTTTTCATAATTTAAAAATGTTGAAATTAATTCGTGCAATTTTAATTTAGCTAATCTATCAAATGTTAATTGGTCAAATGTTGTTTGTAAAGAGAAGCCATTTTTAAAAGATCATACTGAAAGTGTTTTAGAAGTGAAATTTTCACCAAATGGTTAATATATTGCATCAATCTAAGAAGAAAAAGAGGATAAAGAGAAAAAGGTATATCAAATCAAATTATGGAGTTTAAAAAATTTTTAACTCATTAAAAATTTAGAATAACATACAGGTAAAGTTAATACACTATCATTTTCATAAGACTTCCTTTTTTCAGGGAGTAATGATGAAACTATCATAAAATGGGATATCAGAAATCCTGATGTGGAAATTAAATTTGAGAAAATTGAATTATTTCATAAAGTGAAAAAAGTGTAAATTTCTTAGGATTAAAAAAAATTGTACGTCTCAGGAACTGACGGAACTCATGATGGTACTTTTTAAATTTTAGATTTATAAAAAAATGGCAAATGTGAAGAATGTATTTTTATTGAAAAGGACAGAGATTATGAAAAGTTTGCAATACATCCAATTCGGCAAATAGTAGCTCTTTTAAAAATAAAAGGACAGCTTTATTTTATAAACTACGAAACGAAAAATTAAGAGGAACTTTAACACACTTAAGATCTTCAAAATAAAGAAATTATGCATTTAATTTTCAGTTATGATGGGAATTTGTTTGTAGCAGCTTCAAAAAATGGTTATATAGTTTGGAATATTGCACAAGATAAAATCACAAAATAAATGGTAATTAATTTTCCTAATTTCACTTTTTCTACCCTAATGTTTGATTAAGATAATACTAAATTAATTTTTGGATCTGATTAATAAATATTTACAAGGTAGATAATTTTTCCTCAAATTAAATCTCACAAAAACAAGGAGATATGCTTCGAAATTAAAATTTCTCCTTTAGGTAGGATGATTGTAGTTGTGTATGAAAAAAAACTTTGTTTTATAGATTCAATTCTTTTACAACCAGTAAACACAATAATTTTTGATCTGCAACCTAATAATATACAATTTTCAAAAGATGGATCTAAATTATCCTTATTTTTTAATGAAAATTAAGTAATTAAATAGTTCCAAATCTTGGATACATTTACATTAACTGTGATATGTAAACTGCCATGGAAATCAAGCTTTTGGATTAAATATTTACTTTCAAAAGATTTTGAAAAATTATTTATTTTACATCAGACTTGCTAACCTTTGAATTCATATCATTTTCAAAGTGAATTCTTAAGAATTATAAAAATAAATACAAAAAAAATACATAAAGATGTAGAAAATAGAAAATTTAATCTTAAAGTTACAAAATTCTGTGCTAAAGCTAATAGTTGGATTATTGCTTTTTAGTAAAAAGATGAAAACTTTATTACAATTTTTGATCTAGATAAATATTCAAGGATTCAATAGCCTATCTCAAATGAATAATAAGATGTTTATGATTTTTAGTTTTCACCTTGTGCAAATTAATTAGCTGTCTTGTATAATATTGAGATTGTAATTTGGAATTTAGATTCAAATCCATTTATAATATAGGGAAGACTTAGTTTATATGATAAAATGCTTGAATCTATGAAATATTGTCCTGATGGTTAATAAATAGGATTAGTTTTTTAAGATAGGACATTTTAAATATATGATCTTAAGAACAATAATTTACAAAAAGCGATTGAAAATAATTAAATAAAAGGATAAATTGAATTTTCTTTAGATAATAATATGATTGGTTTTCAACAAGATTTTAACATCGTTATTCTGAGTAAAAATAAAAATTTTGAATAGATAGTATTAGAAGGCGATAGCATTAATATTAATTAAATAATATTTACTTAAGATTCATAATCACTCATATCTGGATGCTCTGGAGAGCTAATCTTATGGGATTTATAAACCTAGAAAATCAAAGAGAGAAAAAAAACTTCTCTAAAAGGTTAAGCAGCTATAACATTTTCACATAATAGAAATTTCATTCTTTTATCTTAAAGTTGTTTTTTAGAATTATGGAAGTATTCTTAGAACTCTCTCATATTTATTGGGTCTCAAGTATTAGATATTAATATTAAATATTGTAGTTTTATAAATTATGATAGAAATATTTTATTTTTATAAGAAGATTAAGAGTTGATAATATAGGATTTAGATTGTTTTTAGTTTGAATAAATATTCCCATAATTTTTTTAATTAGGTGCTATATCTTCAGATTATTCGATTGCTTTATAAAATGATTTTCAGCTAAAAATTTTTTCCAATGAATTTGATGAAGAAAAATTCTCTGAAAAATTTAAATTTTTAGTTATGCATTTAGAATTTTTTGAGCATAAACAGAATTTATTATTAATTTTAGCATCATATTATATAATAAAAATCTGGGATTATAAAGAAAAATTATTAATTTTTGAAATTGATGCTAATTAGTCTTATCAAGAGATTTCATTATAATTATATTCATCAGATTAATTATTAATTTTACAGTATTAAGAAAAAAAAAATATCGTTATATGGAATTTAAAAAATTTTGAAACAGTTCATCAAATTGGGTTACATGAAAATATTAATTGCTTTTCTATTTAAGAAAATGGAGAAAGAGCAGTAGGAATAAAAAATAATGAAGCGATTATTATTTAGGATATATTGAATATAAAGTTTACATTCCCATAATAATAAGAAATATCAATACAGAAGCTTTTTATGTCTTTTGAAAAACAATACTTTATTATTTTATGTTGTTCTTAAAAGAATCAAAATCATCTTCTCCTTTTATAAATAGATAAAAACTAAATATTTCCATTCAAAGAGAATGTCAAATCTATAGATTTTTGTTAGGAAAAAAACTAGATTGCTGTTTAAACAGAATCGAAAATTGAGCTAGTTTTTTTTTCAGAAAATACTTTTAAGACAATTGATACCTATGATTTAAAAAATTAAACAGATATTTTTGACATTTAATTTATAAATGATGGAGAAGGATTATTATTAAAATCAACGACGATGATCAAAATATTTTCAATAAAAAATAAATAAAAAACAATTTTTAGATTTCTGTATTAAATATTAAATAACAATAATTATTATAACCTGATAAAATAAGCATAATTGTATTTTAGACATAATTAACCTAGCAAATAATAGTTTTTAGCTATTTTGAATCGAGAATCATTTCAAATGCTTGATATTTAAAAATAAAAACAAATTGTTATTTTATAAAACATTTCTCACTTTTTATTAAGTTTAGATGAAAAAATTATTTGCCTTGTCTAAACAGAAGAAATTTTGAGTGTTTATGTATCATTTTTAGAATGCGAAAACCTAAATTTAAAATAAATTTAACATTAGATTCAATTTTTTTCCATTTCCACTATCGGAGTGTTAGGAAGGGATTCGTTCGCTTTTATTGATTAATATAAGATCAAATAAAATAATGAACAGATGATTGAATAAATTACAGCATCAACCTGTTCCATAACTGAGATTAGTGTACTTTAAGGACCTATTAATCATATGATTTATTTGCCTAAGAAAGAATGGTTAGCATTAAGCACATATTAAAATAATATCATTTTTTGGGATATTAAAGCTAAAAGGAAAGTTGGAACCTTAAAAGGACATTAAAAAACAATAAATTTTATGTCAATTTCATAAGATGAGGGTATTTTAGCTACAGCAAGTGAAGATAAATTAATCAAGTTATGGAATATTGATCAGAATGAATCTTCAGAAATTAAGGAGGCTCATTCATATGAAATTAGTGCGATTGCTTTCTCTTATGATGGCAAATATTTTGCATCAGCAAGTGAAAATGAACCAATCTTTTATTGGGATTTTATTGATAAAAAGTTTATAACTTAGCTAAAAGGAGATTCAAATATTAAATATTTAGAGTTTTTCTATTGTTCTAGATATTTAGTTTCTGGAAACAAAAATGGAAAAATAATTGTTTGGAATATTTAAAATCCTTTAGCAGCAAATATTATTTAGACGATAAATAAATATTAGAATCCTTTATATTCTTTTAGTATTTCTCCAAAAGATGAAACTTTAATAGCTTTATTCAGCAATTATATTACCAAATTTAGTTTTGACTAAATTCAAGAATAAATGGAAAAAACTATTAATATATCAGCAAACTCAAAATCTCACAGCTTTCTCTAAAATAATGAATTTATTTATTTTGATTTAACTAAAAAATAATTGAAAATTCTAAATTTTCAAACAAAAAAATAATAATATATTTTAAAATGCGATTCAGAAATTATTCAAATAACAACAGCAAAAAATGGCAATATAATATTATATTTAAACAAAGATGGAAATTTATTTTATATGGAGAAATAAAAAGACAATCAATGGATCAGTAGAAGATTATTTTGTTCTAAATCTACACAGGCTTCACTTTCTTTTGATTCATAATTTTTGTATTAGGTCAATCATATTACCTATACAAAAAGTGAAAGACTTATTTCTTTGCTTTTTGAAGATGGGGATAGATTTTAAACTATTCTCCATGATTTTTAAAAATTAAAAGAATTTGAATTAAATGTAATTTTTGAATTTAGTACATTAGAAGCCAAAAATATCTTTATTTCATCTGATTTAACACTTGCTGCGATAGCACATATAAAGAATATAGAAATATATGAATTAAAAAATAAAAAATATATAAATAAATATTTAGGATGTAAATGCCCAGAATAACTCCAAATATCTGAGGATAAAAAATATATAACTTGTATTGAGAATATTTAATAAAATGGTTATAATATTTATGACAACATTATTTATTTATGGGAAATTTACAATCCAGATAATCTAACATAATTAAAAATTCAAGATTGTGAATTAATTACATATTAAATGTCTCTTAAAGATTCAAATAAAATCTATGCTTATTACACAGATGGAAATATAAGAGAATGGAATTTAACTACTAAATAAAATTAAATAGTGAAAAAATTGCCTGATATTATTTTTGACAAAAATGAAATAGTTTTATTTTCAAAGAATCTAGAATTTTTAATGTATTAAAATGAAAAAACAAAATTACATATAATTAAACTTTAGGGAATGGAGCCTTAATTTATTGATGTTAAGGAAGAATTTAAGTTATTAGCTTTAAGCTAAAAAAAAAAGATATTCGCATTTGCAATTAAGTAGAAGATAAAATTGTTTTAAGAAGAAAAATAATAATAAATTTCTTTATCAAATTACAATCAAGACGATTATTCATACTATGCACAATCAATCTGTTTCTCGCATGATGATTAAGAATTGGTATTTTGTTATGATACTAATATCTATTTATACAGAATAGATGATGAACTATAAACATAAATTCTTGGTTGTTGGAATGTAGATGGGTACTTTTACCAGTAAATTTTCTGTTCTTCCATTTCATATTTGGAATTCTCTATTATAACACAAAATTAAATTATCAACATTAAAATTGCCCCAACAATCCTCCATTTTTTTTCTGGATATTCAAATTGCTAAGATAAGAAATTCTATTGTTTTTCACCAGATAATAAATATTTAGCTATATCAAATTCTTTTGTATTACTATAAGAGTTGTAAAATCCATTAATTATACATAAATTCAAAGATTGCAATGCAGATTTGGTATAATTTTAATCAAAAGAAATTTTAGTGATTGCTCACTAAAAAGAATTAAAATTTCTAAATATTGCTAATATAGATTAAATTGAATATATCTAAAAATTTGAGTTTAAAGAATCAATTACCGGAATAGTATTCACTTCTAAATATTCATTGATTACTTTGAATAATTCAATAAGATTTGATTTAATTGATTAATTATAAGAAAATTAATTCTAAGCAATTTATAATTCAAATAGAATAGTTGTATTTTCAGAGAAAGAAGATTACTTTGCTTTAAGCTGTCCAGAGGAGATTTAAATAATAAATATTGAAAAATTAATAAATTTAGAAAGATGCCATTAATTTGATTAAGGTGATGGTAAAATTATTTACTCATCAGATGGAGATTTAATATATTTTTGTTCTTAAAACAAAATCCTTATTTTCGATTCCAAAACTTTTATCCTCCTTGCACATTTAGATTAAAATTCTGATGATATAGCTGGGATCTTAGAATCCAATCCTAGTTTTAATAACTTTGAATATAACAATTAATCTAAAAATTTTGTATTTACTACAAAATCGAAGGTTTATTAAATTCGAAACCTAAATGAGAAATTTATTTTATAACAAGTTTATGATGAAAAAAATTAGGAAATTTAATGTATTGCTTTATCTCCAAAAGGAGATCTACTTCTATTAGGAGAAAAAAGCGAGGATAGTAATTCAATTACATTGTTGAAAATTGAATAAGTTTAAAATTTAAGCACAAATAATTCATTAAATGATGAGGTGAATGTTATTAAATTTTGTCCTGACGGAGCTAATTTTGTTGCAGGTTTAAAGGATGGATCTATTAATTTATATTCAATCTTTAGAAAACAAGCTAACGGCTTATAAAATTAGAAATTAGAGTCAAATTATTAAATAATTTGTTATTAATCTTTTGCTAAATAATCCTTACTTTGCGCTTTTGAATGTATTTTATAAGGATCTGAAATTTCTTCAAGTTGGTAATCATCAGAAAAATAACAATAATAATCAATCAAATAGCTTTTCCTTTAGAAAGAAGGAAAGAACTGAGTTTAATTTTAGCCATAAATTATAATATACATATTGATCCAATTTAAATTTTTTATCAATTTTAGTCTTATTTTCTATTATTTTTTATATAGTTAAAATTCACTAAAAATTTACATAAACCTTTTTTGTTATATTTAATTAAATTGATACAATTTCTTATGTGAACATTATTAGCTTCTTATGTATCAAAGATTCTTCTGAAGTAAGGATAAATCTAAAATAATAATACTAATTAGAAATCTAAGATATCTGTTTGTGAAACGTGTAATATATTGTTTAAATTGTTAAACTAATTTTGATTTATTCTCACAAATAAACTATGTGAAATCTATTAATTTAATAAGGATGAAAAATTTAGAATACCTTTGCTTTCTATTTTTCTTTATGGTTCCTTGTTTGCTTTTAGTTTCATTTTAAAATTGATTAAGTATATTTTCATCAAAAACTAATTAGTCTATTATAAATAATAAAATGTGATTTTGACAAATTTAAGAAAAACTATATTGATAGCGAGTTAATTATAATCACAAACACAAATGACAGCTATTATGATTTTATTTAAAATTATAATTATTTAACTAGAAGAGGAAAACTAACTAGCCACATTCAACAGATAAATTATTCAACACAAGAGTTAAGCTTATGTTGATTTGATCTTATTTAATTGTAGCATCGATCCAATGTTTTATAAAATAGATGAATAATAAGAGATTTATTTTTTTTCTTCTTCACTTGTTGTTCGGTTATAAGTTCATATTTACTTTTGATTATCCTTAAAACTTTGGTTTATTTTGTCCTTCTAATCTCAATAGTAAAGGCAAACCTTCTATAGATCCAAAGGTTGTACAAGAAATTTATATGGTTATAATTTTACACATAAAAAATAGAAAGATGGTTTAGTATCAAAAGTAATGAAATTATTAAGTGAAATATAAGATATAAATCCTAAATGGGTATTATTGAATGGGAATTTAGATGTAAATTGGAGTGAATCAATAAATTTAGTTAAGAATGATAATAACATTAGCAAATAATGAAAGAATTCCATGAAAACCACATATGAGAATGCTTTTTGAGATTAGAGATCTTCTTTTTTCAACTCCAACCACTGTATCTAGAGCTGATATTTTGTATGTTTCAGATGATAGGGATATTAATGGACAGATTATGTAAATTCATATGTTTAAAAATGTAAAATTTGATGAATGGGCTGAAAGTTAACTGAAGCTAAAATTTTACTTATCAATTAATTAATTTTTATTATTATTCAGATTCTATATATTTATAAGCTTAATTAGAAAAGAAAGCAGGAATATAATTTGAACCATAAGGTAAATGTAAATTGATTTATTTAAACTGATGATTTAAATATGCCTTAATATAATACAATGTATTGAATTATTAAGATAACCTGTAGATTATGGTAATTAATATGATCTAAGTAAATTGAGTTGGAAAGATATCATTAATTTATTAACTATT